GTCGTCGTCGTCGTCGTCCTCGTCTTCGCCCTTGTCCGCGTCCTCGTCGTCGTTCTCCTCCTCGTCCTCCATCTCCCCCCCCCCCTCCTCCTCCTACTCCGCCTGCTTCTCCTCCACCCCCTCCTCCTCCTCCTCGTCGTCGCTCTCCTCGTCCTCCTCCTCCCCATCCTCCTCCTCCTCAATGATTAACGCCAGAGTGGCTCCATCGTGAGCGGGTCGTGCTTGGGTCCGCACACGATGAAGGTCTCCTGCATCCAGGCCGGCGGCAGCTCCAGCCCCTCGCACGACGAGGCCCCCCGGAGCAGCCTCGGCGGCGGGGAGAAGGCGGCCGCCAGAACAGGGACAGGAACGCGGCGAGAGACAACTGAGAGGGAAGCTGTGCAAATCGAAAGCTGGCAACATGGCAAGCTGAGGCAGACGCAGAGGCAGGCTGAGACTGATGGCTGAGGCTGAGGCTGAGGCAGGCTGAGGCTGAGGTTGAGGCAGGCTGATACTGAGGACTGAGGCTGGGGCTGCGACTGCGACTGCCGTTGCCACTGCGATTGTCATCGCGAATGCGACTGCGATCGCGACGCCGTCTACTCCACTGCCGGGCGCATCCAACTGGGCAGCGACCTCTCATAACAAGTCACTCAGCCGCAGCGCAGGCACGGTGGCGGGACGGGCCGCAGGACATTAAACATACAAAAAGAAAAAGGAAGAGACAGAGAGATGTTGGACGCATGCGCAATTATCTTTTCCACTGGGTAGCCTGGCACGGCCTCCAATCTAAGTCAGAAAGGCCTCTGGCGCCCATTTCGCAATCAGGCCGTCGCACGCCGCGTTTCCCGTCGTGCCCTCGGCCCCCGCGCCGGCCTCTGCAATCTCTGCTCGCAGGCGCACGAGCTCGCGGGCGTACCAAGCGAGACGAACTGCTTTGCGGGCATGCCAGCCGTGCTGGCGCGCCCGCCAGAGCTTCCAAGCCCTGAGGGCAGCATAAGTCCGAATGGGATTGTGAGCGCTGTCGCCGTAGTGGGCCAACGTGAGCGTCCTAGACATTTGCGGGTCACGCCGCATCTCCGAATGGTCCGTCCAGCGCTTGCCAGCAATTCTCATCTTCGCATCTGGCCAGTCGGGGTCACGGGACAAGCTGAAGTACCCATCTGTCTCGACCGTGAGCGCGCCGCTCGCGGCCCGGCGCATCTCGGCCTCAGACACTTCTGGCTCCTCCTCCTCCCGGGCCTCCTCCTCGCCGTCGCCCTCGCCCTCAGCCTCCGCGGCGTCAGCGCCCTCCTCGGCTTCGTCCTCCGCGGCGGACTCCAGGGCCGATGCCACTGTTTCGGCATCCGATGACCCAGCCTCAAAGTCCTCGGACACCTCGCCGTCGTCTTCTGGCGGGGCGCTGGCTGCGGACAGGTCCAGCAACTCGGCCGCGCAAGCCTTCAACGTAACTTTGTCGCCTTCCCCGAACGAGACCGCCATCGTGAGCTGGTACACGCGGACGTCCGCAGGGCTGAGGCCAGCATCATCGAGCGCCTGGCCAACGTCCAGCGGCACCAAGTGCTTGTGGAAAGACTCGCCGAAATCCATCGCATATGCGGCGCGGCCGACCTCGCGGAGGACCACGCAAAAGTCCTGCCGCTTGAAGCGGGCGTACCACACGGCCACCTTCTGCGCAACCGCGGGCCCGACCTTGAACGCGAAGAAGCCAGAGCCCAGCCGCGCTAAAGCGGGGGTCCACGGCGCGGGGGCGCTAGCCCTCGCCCCGTCGGGTTGCAGTCGAACAGGCGCGGGCAAGCGCTCCTGGGGCACGAGTCGCCCTGCCAGCGCGCGTCTCTGCGTCGTCGCGGTCTTCAGCAGAGCGCGAAACGTGGCCTCGTTGCTACCCTCGTGGAACCAATCCAACCACTCGAGGTTCGAAATCGGGAAATCGGGCATGAGCCCCTTCTTCCGCGGCCGCGGCGCCTTCGCCTGGTCGCGGATCTGCTTCGCCTCCGCCCTGAGCTCCGCCTCGTGCTCCCTGTAGTACGACCGGAGCTCGTCCATGTTGCCCGCGTGGGCCGTGGCCGATCGGTCTTCGGCCCCCTCGGCACCGAACCGTTTCCCCACAGGTCGCGGGAGCAAGTCAGGCCGCCTCTGCACAGCCAGAGACCAAGCTTGAATATGCTTCTGCTTCACGACGCGCCTGCGCACAGCATCGGCAGCTCGAAGGCGTTCATGGCGCATGATCCGATAGCGCTTGATCATGCTGTCTCTGGAGCTGCGGGGCAAGCCAGACACCTCGCGCGGCGACCAAGGAATGCTCCGCCCCCTGCTTCACTGGCCGAGCCAACGCCGCAACCGCGCCGCAGGGCCCCCAGGCGGCGGCCCGCGGCGCGACTGCGGGCGGGCGCCGACCCAGGAAAGGGAGGCGGATGGTTTCCCCAGGCCGCCGAACCTTGCGCACGGAGTCGTGCATCTTGTCGTGGGCGTGCTTCCTCTCGGCATCCATGCTGGACGGGGCCCCCTCCAGGATGCCCTCCAGCTCCCGCTGAACAGATGGAGACGCCAGGAACAGCTCGGCCATGCCGCCCCCCCCGCAAGCCAAGGCCTCCCGACGTAAAGGGAGAGAGTAACCTGCGTCCAAGAGGCGCTCTGGCTCCTTCAGGAACGACTTCGCTGCCGTGGGGTACCCGTCTGGATTGTATCGCTTCGTCAACCTCCACAGCTCCGTCGGGTACGTCTGGTATTCGTCGAAGCGCCCGACGACGTGAGAGGCCGTCCGTAGCAAGTCGGCGAGCGCGCCAGCGCAATCCAGGCACGCGTCCTGCGCGAGCAGCGGGATGAGCTCCCCCAGCCTGGCGGACACGCGCTCTTGGACCTCGCCGCGGCCCAATCGCACGAGCGTGGGCTCTCGGTCTCCGGACTGCTTCTGAGCTGAAATGCTAGTAGCGATGCCTGTAAGCTGCAGGCACAGCGACGCTCTTTTCAGATCTCCCACGGTGGCAGGGGCATCGTACCACTCGCGGAACTTGCGCAGCCTGGTCTGGTTCTCCGCCCTGGGCTTGATCGTTTGCAACGTGAACACCGAAGAAGGAAGTCCAATGAGCTTCATCCTCAACAGGGTGGCTACGCACTCTGCGAACAACCAGAATCGGCTGCGGATGGGCTTGCTTTCGCAACGGAGCACGAGCTTGTGGAGGGCGACGTACACCTCGCCGCACGCCTTGGGCCGGTCACCCTCTGCATACGGAGCCTCGAGCTTGCTCAAGTCAGGAGCGTAGACGTCCAGGAGCGCATCTGGGAGGACGTCTTTACCGTACAGGCGCTGCATCTGAGAGGCCACGCCGCCCGCGGCGGCGCCGGCCCCCTGCCGCCGCGCCATCTCCCTCACGACGTACTGGCGCAGGTTGCGCCCAAATTCCTCTATGTACTCGGGCATCAGATGCTTGAAGAAGCGACTGCAATTTGCCTGAAGGGGGTTGCGGTCGACGTCTTTCTTGGCCGCGCTTCTGCAGACGGCCACGGCCGTCGCCAAGTTCGCCTGGTGGGTAGCGCAGATCCAGAGGCAGGCCCGATACAGGAACCACGAGGGCGCGTCTGGTCGCATGAAATGCGAAGCCACCAGCTTCATCGCCGCGTGGTTCGTGGGGATGGCGTCGCCCGTGACTAAATGCACGAGGCGCAACACCGTGTCCCCCAACTTCTCGCGGTCCACCTCCTCGAGGATGGCCTCCACCACGCCGATGATAGAGGTCGCCACGGTGGAGGCGTCCTTCTTCAGGAGAGCTTGAAGCTCGGACCACCACTCCACGCTCACGTCGCCCCTCTTCAAAGTGACGACGTGGTTCTGCACTTTGCTGGTGTGGGACCGCGGGAGAAGCAACCCCCCGCCCCCGTGCTTCGGCGGCAACCGTAAATCACCAGACTCCACCGCCGCGAAGGACTTCATGCGCATCGCTGCCTCGTCGTGCACGTGGTGAACAAATAAAGGATCCGAACCAGGCGATGATACCAAGTAAGACGCCCTTGAACGGTTAATCTTCTTGAGCACCTCAACGAAGGCGTCCCGCACCACGGACACGAGGGACTGAGAGATCGGTTGGGAATGCTCCAGCGGATGGTCGTAGAACATGTTCGCCAGAACGCGTCGTGGAATAGACGGGTCTGCCAGGCCAGCGCGCACGAACCAGATCAGTTCGATGCGCCCGCGGTGGCCGCGGGCACCTTCGGCACCCAACCTCTTGCGGATTTGTCCCACCTTTTCCTTTTGTTTCTTGAGGGAACGGCTGATCTGGGCGGACGTCCTCGCCCCGCGCCCCGGCGGTCTGCCCCGCTTCGCGGGGTTGGCCTCGAACTGGTCCGCCAGCGACGCGGCGACGTTGCGAGCAGAATCGACCGACGAGGCGACGTCGACCCCCTTCTGCTGCAGCAGCGAACGATCCTCCCGAAGGCCCTGCTCCAAAGCCGCTAGAGCCGCGAGCGTGGACTTGACGAGGTCAGGCCGCCACTGCATGCAGGGCGCCGCTTCGGCTGCCCAATCGCAGCCCCGCGCCTGCAACGGGGCGTCCGCGCTTCGGCCGCGTGGTCTTGAGCCATAATGGTAACGAGCAGGAGCTGAAGAAGCGAGGACGGCGAGGAGGATGAAGAAGAAGGGGAGGAGGAAGACGGCGCGGATGGAGAAGTCGAGGAGAAGGGGGGAACACGAGAGGGCGGGCAGGAGGAGAACTGGGATGCTGCAGCCGAGAAGGACGAGGAACGACGATGATGACGACGACGGCGACAACTATGAATATGATAGCGCCCGAACAAGCCGAAGCAAATTCGGGGCAGAGAAGCGTTCGACCCCATGTTTGCCCCTCCCGAGACGGCCAGCCTGAATTTAATTAGTTGGTCTATCAGCAGCTCCCGCGCGGCGGGCCATGGCTCCAGCCTGTACGCGCCCCCAAGCGTGTCGGCCATGGCCCTCAGCCCGCCGCGCCCCCGGGCGCCGGGCGGCCCCCCGCGGCCAGGGGCCTGACGTCGCCGAGCGCGGGGCGGCGACGGGAAAGGAGGAGAGGGCGCGCACCCATCCTTTCCCTGGCGTCTAGCTACCCCTGACAACGACGACGACGACGACGGCGACGCCAAAGACAATGACGACGACAACGACGACGACGACGACTACGAAGACGACGACGAAGACGACGACGAAGACGACGGCGACGGAGACGACGACGACGACGACGACGGCGGCGACGGCGACAACGACGGCGAGGACGACAGCGACGACGACAACGAACATGCCGACGACGACGACGAGGACGACGACGAGGACGACGACGACGACGGCGACGACGACGACGAAGATGCCGACGACGACAACGACGACCACGACCGCGACGACGACGACGACGACGGCGACGACGACCACGACGACGAGGACGACGACGACCGCCACGACGACGACGGCGACGACGACGACGACGGCGACGACCGCGACGACGACGACGACGACGACGGCGACGCCAAAGACAATGACGACGACAACGACGACGACGACTACGAAGACGACGACGAATACGACGACGAAGACGACGGCGACGGGGACGACGACGACGACGACGACGACGGCGGCGACGGCGACAACGACGACGACGACGACAGCGACGACGACAACGAAGATGCCAACGACGACGACGAGGACGACGACGAGGACGACGACGACGACGGCGACGACGACGACAAAGATGCCGCCGACGACGACGACGACCACGACGACGACGACGACGACGACGACGGCGACGACGACCACGACGACGAGGACGACGACGACCACCACGACGACGACGGCGACGACGACGACGACGGCGACGACCGCGACGACGACGACGACGACGACGGCGGCGACGACGACCACGACGACGAGGACGACGACGACCACGACGACGACGGCGACGACGACGACGACGGCGACGAGGGCGACGACGACGAAGACGACGACGACGGCGGCGACGACGACGACGAGGACGACGACGACGCCTCCTCCTCCTCCTCCTCCTCCATCTTCCTCCTCCTCCTCCTCCTCCTCCTCCTCGTCCTCCTCCTCCTCCTCCTCCTCCTCCTCTTCCTCCGTCCAACTCCTCCTCCTCCTCCTCCTTTTCCTCCTCCTCCTCCTTCCAATTCCTCCTCCTCCTCCTTCCTTTCACTCTCTCTCGCCCCCAGTCTCCCTGGTCTCCAGATGTCCAGGTTGATCAGGGATCCGCTTCGAGCAGCAGCGCAGAACCCATGCAAAAAGAAAGAGAGAGAGAGAGAAACAGGAAAGAAAGAAAGATATAGAAAGGAGAAACAGAGAGAGAGATGAAGACTCAAGGAGAGCGAGAGAAACACATATACAAAGACAGAGGCACCCGCCGACACGGGAAGGCCACGGGCGTGCGCGTGGGCAGAACCGCTTAGTGAGGGCGCGGGCCCTTTCCAGGGCGAGGGGCCGCTAAGTTGCATGCCAGTTGCCGCCGAGCAACCGCATTGCCTCGAAAGCCCGCGGGCTGCCACTAGTTGCCGCTAAGTTGCCTCTAAACGTAAAAGAGACCCAATTTCATGGCCCTTCTAGACATCCCCGCATCAGCCACGTAAATAAGGAGAAGGAATGGAGGAGGAGGAGGAGGAGGAGGAGGAGGAGGAGGAGGAGGAGGAGGGGGAGAGAGGAGGAGGAATATGAGGAGGAGGAGGAGGAGGAGGAGGAGGGAGGAGGAGGAGGAGGAGGAGGACAAGAAGAATAATTATAAGAAGAAGGAGAAGGGGGAGAGAGGGGGGCAGGAGGAGGAGGAGGAGGAGTTAGGACCAGTCCTATTCATCGCTGGGTGAAAAAGATGGATCAAAACTAAAGACCTCCGGCGGTTATATGAGCGGCGATATATATATATATATATATATATATATATATATAACTGTTTCTTACGCCATATGGCATACGTAGCGATTTTACGCGGTGGCTTACGCGGCCCGCCAGCGCGGCACGCTGCGTTGGAAGCGAGGGCGCTTACGCGCGACCTGACACGGGCAGCTTGCGCGCGAACGTCGGCGCAGTTGGACCCATTTTTGCTCGTCGCCCAGGTGATGACGAAGATCGGGCCAGCTCCAGCTTCCCAGCTGATGGGAAGTGGACCTATTTTGACGATCCACATCCACATGGGCGTGGCCTGGGCCCCAAGGGCTGATCTACCCCCCTCGATGAGGATTCGGATTTCGAAGGTGCATCCCCAACTGGGGTGCTGAGATGGTGGGGGTCTGGACGGGCATGGGGATAGAGGATACGTAGGGGTTGGTTAGACGATGCTGATCCACGGTGCCGGCCGGCGCAGGGGTCGCGCGAGCCCGCAGGCCCGAGCTGGTGCTCTGCGACACTGCGGACGTCCGCTGCGGCGGGAGTAAACCGCGTGCGGGCCGAGCCGCCAAAATTGGACCGAAACGACCAGCCGACGAACCGAGAGCAGCCGAGACGGGCGCGACGACGCAGCTGACTACCTACCAGACCACCCCAACCCAACCCGAAGACCCGAATTTCGGGTTGGGGGGGGTAAGGGTTCCACAGGTGTTTTTTCGATGTTTCCCGACCCCCCCCCCCACTGGAAATCGAGGGTAAATCTGAGCCGTCGGGTTGGGTTGGGGTGGTTTGGTGGGTGGTGAGCAGCAGCAGAGCAGAACCGACCGAACGCAACCGACTGCGCGCAGCCGACCGAAACGAGTGGCGGACCTCCCTGGATCGCCTCCCCTCGCTCTTCTTCGGGGCCCCTAGACCGTATAGTGACGGACCGCGTAGTGACCTCGGAGTCCCCCACGGACCGCGTGGTGGCCTCGGAATCCCGCCCGCGGGAGGGCGGGCACAGGCAGCCTGGGCCTCGAGCCAGAGCGGTGGGCGGCCAGGCTGGCAGCTGGCATGAAGGAAGCGGGTCCTGAAGGAAGCGGGTCCTCGACCCCGGGAATAATTCTGCACCCCGGATCGTTTTCTGACTGTCCCGAGGTCCGTGTGGAGGCCTCGGGAGGCCGAAACCCGCGAAAAAACTCAGCAGGCGTCTTCTTCCTGGCGACTCGGGCACTTGAGAAGTTCGTGGCCGGCAACTCTTGAAGCGGAGTGGGATCCGAGCCCAGACGCACCTACTTCCAACGGACGGCCCACAGTCTCGCGCCCTCGGCGGCTAGACCTTGCGCCATCGCGGGCGAAGCGTCGTCTCTATCAGGGGGGTGTACAGTCATCGTGATACCATAAGGAACGCATAATGAGGAACGAAGGGGATTTTCTGGTCACGGCGGGCCTAGGCCCAAGGCATCAAACAGGTCCCACTACATAAATCAAGGAACAGCCCGAAAACACGAGCCCCTCCTGAGCCCAAAGTGGTCCTTATGGTAGCGTCTTGACTGTGGTGACCAAAAATATACCCGAACATCTGTCCGCGCGCGGCCGAAACTGGCACCCATTATGTTCCGCACGCGCCAAAATGTGACCGAACTGTTTGGTCCGAAGCCAATACGGTGTGCGGCTTCAGTCGCAATTTCGGTCACACTGCGTTTTCGGTCACAGATTCGGACACGTGCTCGGTCACAGATTGGCGGCCAGAGAGGGGGGAAGTGAGAAGGGGCGGGCCTTCTCAGAAGTCTCGGCGGAAGTCGCCCGGCCTTCTGAGAAGTTTTCTGCGCTCTCCCCGAAGACAGAAAAGGCCTCTCAGAAGGCGCGAGGGCTTCTGAGAAGTCCCGCCGCCTTCCGAGAAGGTCTTCTCCTTCTCCCTCCCCCCCCTCGCTCGCGGCCGAACATACTTCCTTCGGCCGCGCACCTTGTTAGGGGCTCGAGCTCAGGCCCTCCTGCATGGCGGTGCGCGGAAGCGGCGCTCAGGCGAGAGGGGGGCGGCCCTCCACGACGGCGGCGGGCTTCTTGGCAGGTGCTGGCCCCCATCTGTTAGAAGCCTCCCGGGTGGGGTCGGAGGATCGAGCCGCACCGCTGGCGCATCGCCGATGCATCGGCGACGCATCGCCGACATCGGCGTGGAGGAGATGTCGGGCTCCACATCGAGCCGCACTGCCGAGGCGTCGGCGATGCGGCGCGATGTCATCCGACCCCATCTACTCCGACCCAACATTGGGGAGAAAAAACGGTACACCCTGCGAAATGCTTAAGAAATCATGGGTTCAGAAATTCATAGTCTCAGAATTTGAATAAAAACCCAGAATGCCTATTCAAATCTTAGGATCTATATCGAAACGCTAAGAATAATCGAGACTCTGGCCGAAAAATTAGGTTTTCTTGAGCATCGCCTAGGGTGTACCGATGCCGACCGCTGCTCCCTGGGCCTCCTCTGGGATGCTTTCTGACCAAGCCTCCGAGGCGAATCCAGCGGCGGAGACGAGGGCCTCCCGGGAGGTCCAGCGAGGCACAAGCGAGGGAGGGGCAGCCGTGTCGGTACCGTGTCCTCCTCTGGCATCTGGGAGGCCTCGAGTCTGGGAGGGCAGGAGGGCTCCATCCGCAAAAGGAGCTCGGCCACAGGGAACCGCCCACAAGAAGCTCAACCCTGATACCCCAGG